CAGCCCCAGGAGGAGCCCCCCTCTTCCGCTGCGCTGGCTGGGGGGCGGGCAGAGGGACAGCTTGGTGTGGCGCAGTGTGGCCACTCTCTTGGTTCCCCTTGAAGCCTAGGGGAGCCCCCCACCCAGAGCAGCCCAGGTCCCCGAGCGGCAGGGCCCTTCCTGGCCTCTGACAGTCTTGTTGTCACGTCCACCCCAGCAGTCTGTGACAAACACCCACTTTCCAGATGAGAAAGCAGGTGCTGATGGTCCGCCCAGCTTAGCAGCGGAGCGAGGACCAGCCACGCAGCTCGTGAGGCCCCTTTCTGCTCAGGCCTGAGGTCAAAGGGTCAAGTGACCAGCTTCAGGGACTGGATGGGGGCAGGGAACAGGGCAAGGCAGCTCTCCCTCCAGTCCCCCTGGGCCTGGCCCTTAACTCTTTACTGCCTGGGGCTGCCTGCTTGGGTTGGGGTGGGGGGACTGGAGGGAGAGCCAGGGACCACGCCAGGGACCACCCCCCACTTCACAGTCACAGGTATCCCAGCCCCCGCCACCCCAGCCACCCTCAGGTCAGCTTCCAGGGGCTTCCAGGGGCCCCTGGTCCAGGAAGGGGCTCCTGTCCAGCCTCCTGTGTCCCCTCCCTTCCTTTACCTCCCGTGCACCAAAGTAGGCCTGATCCGGATGCCCCCCGAGCTGAAGGACCCCCTCCCCATGAACCTGCAGGATGCCCTTCTAGCACCCAGGCTTTGCAGAGCTTTCCATCCTGGGACTCACGACCCCCGGGCAACAGACACACCGAGGCTGAGGGTGTGGGCAGGCCTGAAAGGCCCGTTAGGCTCTGGCCATCAGAGGGGTGGGGGTCTGTAGGCCAAGTGCAGGCCAAGCTCCCACAGCCGCATGGAGACTGGCCCCGTCCCCCTCCCCAGCCCCTGGATGTCACAGTGACCAAGGCTGTGCGCTAACCCACACTGTGTCTCTGATCCGCAGACCCCGGCACAGGGGAGGAATGGGCAGCCCCCACCACTCAGAAGAGCAGCTGCCACCAGTGTCCGGGGCATGAGGGAGTCTGCTTCTGCAGGTGAGTGCCACAGGTGATGCTCTGGGTAGCAGCAGGAGGCCTGGCTGGGCCTGGGCACGGTTTACACGTGCGCGCGCGTGCGCGCGCGCACACACACACACACACACACACACACACACACACACTTAGGCGAACAGGGCCTGGGCTCCAGTTCCAGGGCAGAAACTGCCAAGAGGTGCAGGCCCAGGGTGTCATGCACACTAATGGCTGTAACAACGCTGGTGCAGACATGACAGAGCTCCCCAGGGGAGGAGGTGTTGGGGCACCTGGTTCTGGCTGTGCCGGCTGCTGTCTCCCAGTGGGCACTGCTGGCCACTCCACCACACGGGGCTTGTTTAGCCCATGTTGCAAATGTGGAGAGGGAGCCTGGAGATGAGAGGAGAGGTGACTGGCCCAGGAGCCCCCAGTGGTGACCATGAACTTGGGGGACTCCTTGGAGGCCTGAGGAGCACTCAGGGGTGGTCCCAACTGTCCTGAACAAAGGGGGCACCAGGTGGGAGCCTGGCAGGCCCCCTAACCTGGCACACTGGCTGGGAGGGAGGCTCGGTGTCACACCTAGGCCCCAGCTGGGCTCTGCCGAGCCCTCCCCCACCTGTGTGATCCCTGGAAGTACCGGCTATGAGCCTGGGGATCACTGACGTCCACCCCACGTGTGGCTGCAGGGCAGCGATCAGCTTTAGCCAGCCCCTGGTGCCTAGGGAGCTGGCCACCCGGGTGCTATGGCCATCCCCGGGAGTCGGTGCTCAGCCTAGGGGAGTCGAGAGCTAGCTACCCGCGGCCAGCGCGGGCTCCCCATGAGGCCTCCGGGCACCTGGCTCAGCCCTGCGTCCTCGGGAAACGGCTGGGAGGGGCAGTAGCGCTCGGAGGCGGGTAGTGCGTCAGGCGACCCGGTTCCAGCTGACTCACTGCTCGGCCCCCGGGGCGCCGTCCGCCACGGGGCCTCAGTTTCCCAACCTGCGCAATGGGGGCGGGCGGGGGTTCGGAGCCCCCCCGGGGTGGGGGCGGGCCGGGAGGGGCGGGGCCGGGGTTGGCGGGTTGGCGGGTTGGC